TAATAAATTGTGTTGAAAAGAAATTGAGATAACTGGTTTGGTATGATTTATGATTTGCTCTGTAGGACAACATTAGTGTTGATGGTATATAGAGAAACAGTTAAGGGTGGTAGTATCCCAACAATAGAAGTATTATCACAAGTCTTGGGATGCTTAAGACTTCCTCAAGATTCATCCTTAAAAACCAGACTGATTGAAAATCTGGGAGTAATTGCTGATGATACATCAAAAGCCTCAAATCTCTGCTCTCTCATTGATGGCTTCGGTGAATACGATCCCCGTGCCTTTTCTCTTCTCGAGGTTTGCTATTATATTTATACCATTCTACTTTTACTCTTCTGCTTTCGTTTATACATTTTTTTTTTTATTATTTTAGGAAGCTGCTTCGCTAGGAATTGTTCCTTGTGTATCTCTAAAAGAAAGCCCCATAGTTGTGGATGTCACAAAATTACCAATATATATGGCTGAGGTAAACCTAATTATGAATCAAACTAAATTCAACAAATAGCAACCGACGAAACTACATTGCTATTTCTTGAACAACAAATGGTTGATTTTCATTGTTTATAATACTTTTTGGTTTTGTGAAAACTCCTCAGGTTTACTTCTTGACAGTCTTGAAGGGTCTTAAGCATAGACTAGCTGCTGGTAATTAATGACATCCTACTTTTATTATTATTATATAATAAGCATTTGGTTTGATATTGATTTGTATTTCAGGTGTGAAATTGCCCAACATAAGCATCTTGTTGCCTATAGTAAAGACACAAATTAAGGCTCCCATGGGTGATAAAACAATGAATGTCTCAGGAAGGTCAGTACACAATCATATATATATATATATATATATATATATATATATATATATATATATATATATATATATATATATATATATATATATATATATATATATATATCAACATCCTATTTATAAATTATAAGGAAATATATGAAAGTACATTGGTATTTCTTGCATTTAAGTCTTTTATCTATCGTATTTCAATTATGTTGTTGTTGATGATGATGAACAGAGTTACCCAAGCTATATCATCATTATTGAGAAGGCTAAGGATGTCATACATAGGAAACGAGTCATTTGGAAAAATCAGAATAAATGGTGTTGTTGTCAAGAAATGGCTTTCACCAAAGCTTTCATCTCCTTATGGTGGAAAGCCAACTGGCTTTAGTTCATCCTTGGGTAAAGGAATCACCAATCAGCAGCGTCACATTCGATCTAGCAATTTGTCTTTTGAGTAAAACTCTAATTTCGTTTAGATTTGTATAAAACATGAGAGTTAATAAGATCATAATCATGGTCCTCGTCATGGTCGATCTATATTATATCCTATAGGTACAGTTTTGATATACTTAGGTTTTATATTATATATTTTCAAGTTTTTAAACTTACTCTTGCACTGTCTCTTTAAAATCTTATTTTTTATATGTGAACTAAGCTTTTTATCCAAGTTTGGGGTGGGATGTCCACCGCTTTTATAGTAGTAATAAAAAAGTTAGGTCATAAGAATATCATTAATTGTTTAATCTATTTATCTATCTCACCAAAAACTATACATATGGAGTCCATGTTAGCATATAACTTGTTTTTCTGCTCATTTCCACCTAGATGGAACAAGAAGATAAAATTGAAAATTTTTAGCGCTAAAAATTCTGAGAGATTAAAGTAGACATCTTTCATGGTCAACCATCGCTAATTAAACAAAAAATTACAATTATATATGCTCATGGGTCGACCCACGCATTCATCTACCTAATTGACTCAAATTGTTGGATTTCTTATTGGATCAATAATAGATCAAAACTTTTGAGGATTCGATATTTCTGCAGTAAGCTTGATATTGTAATTTTGATGCGTAAAAATGAATTAAAAAATTTTTACAACTTTTCAGAGGATTGTTTAGATGGAGTTGAGGATTTTGCAGATGTCATTTATGAAATCCTTAAATTCATCTAAGAAATCCTCTAAAAAATTGTATGAAATCTTTTTTTAAGAGTTTCTTTTGGTAGAATTCTTCAAAAAACCATTTTCATTTCATAGCAAAAGAAAAAACAATACATTAAAGTTTTGAATAATATTAAATTAATATATAAACAAATTCTATAAATATATTCATGTTATATTGAATTAATATAATCAACAAAATTATAAATTAGACGTTCCTATCAGCTAAAAGTGTTGGAAAATCAAGGTATTTAGAATGTTTGGATTACTTAATGTCGTGAAACACACTTTTAGATTAAAGCATTTCGGTGGTACACACGAAATCTTTAATCGGATAAAACTAAGTATTCAATAACAAATAATGAAGAAGATGCATGCTCTTGTGTACCAGAATTCGTATATGATCAATAAGACAGAAATAACCACCTTGTCCAAAAACTACCAAAACTATAATATGACAGTTTTGTAACTATTACAGAACTGTCACTAAACTGCCCTTAAAACCGAGTTTAGGATTAGAGTCAAAACCAGCCAGGGGCACTGGCCCTTGGACGTCGCTTCGAGGGGGGTTGCCCCTAGACCCCCTTCAGTTCAGGAAATAGCAGTGTATTTTCAACCAAGATAAACTTAAACAAATGTATATTCCACATCATCCTAACTTATTTAATATTTATCAATGCAACATTGATCAACAAATTAATCCCATTACACTTAAATAATATTAGTGATACAAGTCACCAACAAAAAGTTGGTAACTAGTTTATTGTAAAATTATGGGCATGTATAACAGTATATGCAGGTCTTTGGTCTTTGAAATATAAAAATTGAGGTGGCTAAGATGCTCTTAGGCCCTGTTTGATATATGTCTGACCGAGTCAGGTCAGACATTTTTGGATGACTCGGTCAGCTGAAGTTGTTTGATAAACAAAATTTAGGTGGCTGACTCGGTCAGCAAGATCTGAGTGAGAAAGAGGTCGGGAGTTAGCTGACTGAGAAATGGAGAAAGGCTTTCCAAACTTATCCATGGGTAGGGCTGTAAACGAACTGAACGTTCAGCGAACTGTTCATGAACCGTTCGGCGGGAAGTTCGTTTATGTTCGTTTATTTAATAAACGAACGAACATGAACACAAATTATCGTTCGTTTAGTTAAACAAACGAACATGAACAATGGTCTCGTTCGTTCAATTATGTTCGTGAACGTTCGTTTATGTTGTTCGTTTATGTTCGTTCATATAAGTTCACATATGCTTAATTGTGTTTGATTACATTAGTGTATTATATATTTATTTATGTTCATATATCTTCAATTATGTTTTTTTTATCTTTGTTCATTTATGTTCGTTTGTTTATGTTCACGAACATAAACGAACGAACATGAACAATGTAATTTGTTAAACGAACGAACATGAACAAGAAAATTCGTTCGTTTATTCGTTCGTGTTCGTTTATTTGTTCGGCTAACATAAACGAACGAACATGAACAAGTCCCGTTCGTGTTCGTTCGGTTCGTTTACAGCCCTACCCATGGGCTTTAAAAATCCAACAGTGAAAAAGAGGGTGATGGGAATCAAACCCATCACCTCACACTCACAAACCAACATATTTACCACCAAACTAGAAGCTTTCTTTTGTTATAGTTGCTCAAACATTTTATATATTGTATAACACTGATTATTATTATTATTATTATTATTATTATTATTATTATTATTATTATTATTATTATTATTATTATTAAAGTTATGAAAGATTTTAACAGTAAAGTGACACCTTTTTTTTGTCAATTTTGTTCCTCCAACTTACAACATTGAACCTTCATCTTTATGCTTTTGTTCACAAACAACCCATATTGTTAATATTTAGTCTTTTGGCAGAAATGGTCCCTCATTATTATTATTATTATTGTTCACAAACAACCCATATTATTAGTATTTAGTCTTTTGGCAGAACTGGTCCCTCATCATTATTATTATTATTGTTAGACAAAATTACACGATTGGTCCCTGTGGTTTACCAGATTTAACATTCTCTTTTTGGTTTTAAATCCCAATACCATAAACCCACCCACCATCTGCCATCACCACCACCACCACCACCACCGCCGCCAAAATTACATAAATGGTCCATATGGTTTACCCATGGTGATAAATTCAGTCCCTACTACCTGAAAAGACCAAATTACCCTCACATTAACGGACAAAAAGCAACCAACATGCTACTTTACTTTACAAAGCAATACCTTCCGACCCCGGCAACGCCGGGGAATCTTTTCTAGTTATTATTATTATAATAATTATTATTATGATTATTATTATTATTATTATTATTATTATTATTATTATTATTATTGCATAGAAACGTATAGAGCATCGTATAGAGCATCAGGGTAAAATGCTCATTTTGCATCAGTCAACACATTCAATCAGATGTACAATCAAACAACATGGTTTCTTACTCAGTCAGAATTTCACAGACATTTCTCAGTCAGCAACTATGGGCCTTAGTCTCAACAAATCTACAGAAATGATGATAGAAGAAAACATCGAAACATAAAAATCATTGTATTTGTATGACAATTATAAGCATAGTTCAAGACTTAAAATACATATTGAGGTGCAAATATTTCTGTCAATGTCTCGAAGCTAAAGTTATTTATTTTAAAGTTTAATCACCATTGTCAAAATATGACGTTACAATATTAATTAATGTCTATACTCTCTATGCACAACTTAAATCATATCGTTCTAGCTACTATAGGATTTATTTTGTGATCGATCAAGATATATGATAAGTGTTGTGTTTTTCCATAAAATACCATCGTTTAAATCAATACCTTATTAGCAAGATTTAGCATTACTCGATCATATATACCCTCATGAAGTAGACATTTATTTCCACACTCGAAGAAAATCTTGATTACAGTTATACAATAATTAATCAATCGACATGATTGTTCTGTTATAACTTATACCATACAATATTCTTTGAGATGCATGTACTTACTACTAAAATAAAGGACATTAATTACTTGCGACTTAAAATAAACCGTACCCAGCCCATTCCACATCACTTGCCATCATCACCGGTGATGATCGGTAGGACGAGAAGGAAGAAGACGGTGGTGATGAGTTGTAAAACGGCGATCTTGAGTTCTGAGTCGACATAGACCATTGAGACAAGGTCTCGATGTCTGATTTGTAGACTGTGTCTGCATGGAGCTTGTTGGTTTTTCTAATTTGGCCTCCTTTCCAGGTTTGAAAGCAACCCAATGATACAACCTCGGGTTGACGTCCAATCATGAGTGGTGGCGGCTTATCAAAATGGAATCGGCTGGATTGAGTTCGTGGGGAGGCGGAGACCAAGGAGGAGGGTGGTGGCTTGAGGGATGAAGGGCGGTGATTTGAGTTTGACGGTGGTGGTTGGTGGTGGTTGTGGAGCTTGGGGACACCGGGTCGAATCTCCCATTTGAATGGAACAGAACCTGGTTGCTTAAAAGAGTCATCAATAGCAATAGGCATGGCGATTGGCGAGTTGTGATTGTTTGTTAGTGTGAAAGTTATTAAGGCGTTTTAATTATATAGAAGTAGAAGACGGCTTTGACCAGAAAAGGAGTGAGGTGGAGATGAGATGTTGATCGGTCACGCTCACGCCGAGATTAAAGGCATGTTAGCCGCTGGGACGCTGTGGACTTTCTTATTTGTTATTTATGTATAGATAGACTTTAGAGTATAGTGAGAGAGAAAATTATTGACGCATCTTCTTAAAAAATCTTTAACTTAAACATATAATAAAATACAAGTGATGATATTTAGGTTGTTACGATCGGTATAGTATGATTGGATCAGATCCTAACAAAATGAACTATTATTCATATTTGTAATGTTTTATTTGTGCACTCGTTAATTTTTTTCATTTTTATATTTTTATTTATTTATTATTTTTTTTAACGTTGCAATGTTTTATTTGTGCACTACTGGTTAATTTTTAGTTTTATTTTTATTATTTTTTAACAGTTGGTTAGTGGTTAAAAGTTGGTATCACCAAGTTAGTAAAATTTATCAACGTCCAAATTAGAACTCGGGACCTCAAATCTAAGAAGTAAAGGTCGTAAAGCCTCTATCAAGTGGGTTAATCACACATTAGCACTACTCGTTAAAATTGATAATGATTAAGACAACGATAGTGAAATTAACTTTAATTTTTAAACATGAAACATAATTATTGTTGCTACAACTAGCAAAAAATTAGAAAGAAAACATCAACAACAGAAAAAGAATGAAGATAATCATAATCATATACAACTAAAGACACAAGATCATAAATAGAATAACATGAGTGTCATGATACTATGCTTAATTTAAGATGAAAGGATGAAGCGGAGAAAATCAATGAATTTTTTTGCCTCTTACTACATGTGATGCTTCATTTCAAGTTGTATGGACATATACAACTAAAGATACAAGATCATAAATAGAATAACATGAGTGTCATGATACTGTGCTTAATTTAAGATGAAAGGATGAAGCGGAGAAAATCAATGAATTTTTTTGCCTCTTACTACATGTGATGCTTCATTTCAAGTTGTATGGACAAATTTTTGAGACTTGACTATATAATAAAAACTAAAAATGTAGAATCGGGTCAAGTTAAAAACTTAAGATCCTAGTCAGATCCTTAGATCTCAATATATATATTACTTCAGATAGATTATAGTATGTTGGGATCGTTTTTTGCTTATAGAATCTTAAAATTAATCGTAAAATTTTAAGATCAAGATCGGGACCGTAACAACTATATTTGATAATATTAATTAGGAGAGGATGTTTAAAGTTTAAACATCTAATAAAAAAATATGTTTAATTTAATGATAAAGAGGTGAGAGTTTATAATTATGTTTTCTTTTACTTTCATTCCATTATGATAACGAACGAATAGAATGAAAAGGATGATGGAATATATAATGTAATAATGATTTTTTTTCCTATAACAATAGTAGTTAAGTTATTTATTGGTTTCAATCATATCATATATTAAATTTTATTAAGAGTGTATCGGCTCACAACTTTTAAGTAATTGAGAATTTTATCTTTTAGATTTTAAATAAATTACATAAAAAAAACTTTGTTCGATAGTAAGAGTTTTTTTAACTGTTTTTAAACAAAAAATTAATAATCCAAAAACTATTTTAAGTGGATTTTGGGAGATTTTAACTTTTTGGAGCTTTTAGCTTTTTGTTTTTATTTAATTTTACATATTTAAAAGCTAACAATGTGACATCCCAAAAATCATAACAAAATTTTTGATTTTATTAAAACATTTCAATAAGTCATTTGTAACGTCCCAAAAATATTGATAAAATTTTCATTTTAAATAAGTCAAAAACCATTCATTCATTATCTCAAAAGACGATCAGAGTAAAAGTATTCTCAAAACATCAAAGTAAAATCATAAACAATCATTGCGGAATAAATCTCCAGGGGATGCGGTGCGATCAAGTCGGGCTCTTCCATTTGAAACTAAAAGTACCTGAAAATGTTTAAATCACAAAATCGTAAGCACAAAGTTTAGTGAGTTCCCCAAAATATCACATACAACATATATATAAACGGACCCCACCCAAACTACATACTGGGCCCGCCAAAAATGATATATAACGGGCCCTGCCCAAACTGCATAACAGGCCCTGCCCACTGCATAATGGGCCCCACCCAAAATGATATATAATGGGCCCCATCCAAGCTGCATAACGAGTCCCGCCCACTACATAATGGGTCCCGCCCAAAATGATATATAACGGGCCCCGTCTAAACTGCATAACGGGCCCCGCACTACATAACGGGCCCCGCCCAACATACATGCATGAGTCACAAAGACAGCTAGCATCCTATATAACACAATCTAGTGGACCGACATTGGTGCCTTCGACCCACGAGTATAGTGAAAAGACTCACCTGAACTACTCAACAACTACCTCAACAACAAAACAGTTAACCCCAGCTTCCTAAAGCCAAACTGAAACTTGCCCTTAGTCAAATACTCAATTCAACCCAAGTTTGACCAAACTGGTCAAAAAGTCAACAGTCAAGTCAAACTGGTCAAAAAAGTCAAACTTGTCAAAAAGTCAACAGTCAAGTCAACTTAGATGACCCCCACATCGTGGCAATTCCTTTGCCATGACGTGGCCACTTCCAAACAAAAATAGACGCGATAAGTCCTACCACCACGTTGTGCCCTTCCTTGGGCACACCGTGGTCTCCAGTCTGAAAGGCTTTTCTTCAATAAGAGCTTAATCCATAAGGACCAAGGCTAAAATCATCAGATCTGATTCCTAATAGTTTCATAATGGATAAAGTTTCCAACTTTATCCATTAGGAAGGTCCAAACCACCAAGATCTAGACTTTAAGTCTCAAATGGACCCAAAAATGCATCTCTCTCTACTTAATCCATTAAATCCATGTCTCCAACCTTCAGATCTGAATAAACATGATGTTTAGATGGATAAAGTTTCCAACTTTATTCATAACGAAGTCACAAACTTTCAAGATCTAAACTTTAATACACCAAAATGTCCTAAAGGACCAAGATAACTTGCATGGATAAAAGGGAAAGCAAAATATCACAACTTTCCTAGTCTATGAGGTCCAAGAAGCATTCGAAACTGATCAAAATATGTTGGAGTCCACTTAACTGTTGGATAAGGTGTCTAAGTCCATAACTATTTCTGGTATGTACTTGACCCGACCCGGCATGGTCCATTTGGGTTGCATGGCATCATGCATTTGGATAGACTAAATGAGAGAAATAACACTTATGGTTTATTAATATATTATAAGTTCTAATATATTAATAGTATTATTTAATTAGTATTGATCAAGAATTAATCTAGGATTAATTAAGTGATCAAAAGATGACTAATTAAATATATGGGTTGATTACGTAAATCATCCATAACTTGTATAGTGGGCTAAAAGGCTTCATGGATAATCAAGTTGGGTTAAACCCATTGGATGCTCCATGGAGGCTCCATGGGAGTTACAAACCCATGGGTCATGGAAATGAAGAGTCATGGCACATTAGGGTTTGCATGGTGTAACCCTAGATGTGACACACTATATAAGCAACATGTTCTCCACCAAAATCGGCTACACATAGTTACAAGAGGGCTAGGCCGATTTTTGCAAGTGTTACACTTCTCTCAAGTCTACTCCAAAAAGCATTTGGTGTTGTGTGAAGCATTTGAGGCATCACACTTGGGGTGCTAGGCTCTCAAGGTTTCAAGGAATCATAACAACTACAAGGTATGTATTTCTAGCTATCATTTATATTATAAAGTTCCCATGTATGCTAGATAGGTTTATGAACCTTGGAAAAAGTATTTTGCATGTATTTTAGAAAAACATAGATCCAAGGTTTTCTAGGGTTGCATGTACACTTAGGAGTGTTAGAATTGCTCAAAACCCTTCAGTGGTATCAGAGCCTAGACTTGTTTGTTAAATACTTGATGCAAACTTGTTTTTCAAAAGCCAAAAACTGTCCAGACAAGAAAACTCGACGAGTTCTGGCCAAAAACTCGCCGAGTTTATGTATTATTGCATGAACTCGACGAGTTCCTTGATAAACTCGACGAGTTTGTCATCCAGTGAGCAGTTTTTGGAGCTTTGCTGCTGGAAATGGACTAGAAACATTACCCTAAACTGTTTTGGTGCTGTAAAACTCATTTTAGTTGGTGTAATGGTTGTTCTAATCCATTTACAATGGCTAATATCAAATTTACATGATTATATGTGTTCATATGTTCTTGAAATTTTGATATGAATATTCATGTTCTTATGAGTTCTTGATAGATCATAGGAATTACTTGTTTAATGATTAATTCATGATCTTTATGTGTTTTAATGGAGTCCATAACTTGTCCTCAAGTTATGGATAACCAAAAGCCTCTTTGTTTTAAACCCATTAAAAGAACACATAAGTTACAAAAATGAAGAGTCTTCATTTTAATAACTCATAAGTTATGAATTGAAAAGTTTTGAAAGTTTACAAAACTTGCCCTCAAGTTTTGGAACAAGTAAAGTCATGATTAAAACTTTAGTTCCAACCCTTAGAATTTTAAAAGTTAAAATTCAACCCTTATACTTTATAATATTATAAGTTGATAATATATATGTATAAGATCAAGTCGTCTTACCGCTAGTACGCCTCATTCACGAAGCCGGTCTATAAGGGGGGTATAAGGTTGTTGCCTATAAAATGGCAGCTTAATGGGTGTCCACTCTCACCCACCGATTCCTTGACTGGTGGAGGGTCGTTAGCCGAACGGGTAGGACAGTGACTTAAAATTCTCATTAAAAAGTATAATGATTATTATAAAGTAACTAAATGTTTTATAAATTCCCAATCTTAGTTACTTTAGGAAAAATGTGAATAAGGTGCTAATCCATGAAATTACACTTTGCACTTTGTTTAAGTCGTTGGTGGAGCGTGTGTGGTTTACCAGCACACTAACTTGGACTTAAC